TTGAATAGGTATTTCACCCAAAAGGACATTCAAATTGCCTTTTCATTTACCAAGTACGTGAAAAGATACTTAAGGTCATTAGCTATCAGAGAATTTGTAAATCAAAACCACAATGAGAAACCATTACTCTCCCGCTCTGGGTGGCTTCTATTAAATACACACACACACACACACACACACACACAATAATGTGGGGAAGTTGGAACCCTTATCCATTGTTAGTGGGAATAAAAATGACATAGTTGTTGTGAAAAACAGTGTGGCAGTTCCACAAAAAACAAAAAATCAAACTACCATATGATCTAGCAATTCCAATCCTAGATATGTACCCAAAAGACTTGAAAGCAGAGACTCAAAAAGAGTTCATTGCAGTACTATTTATAATAGACAAAAGGTAGAACAATGCTTATCAACAGAAGAATGGATAAGCAAAATGTGGTATATACATACAATGGAATACTAGTCGGCCAGTTGGAGAAATGAAATCCTGATACATGCTACAGTATGGATGGAGCTTGAAGACTATGTTGAGTGAAATAAGATAATCACAAAAGGACAAATATTAATAGTGGTTACCAGGGGCAGGGAGGAGGGGAAATAAAAGGGGGCTTGCTTATGGAATACTAAATTTGGTTTATGGTGATAGGAAAATTATATTGATTAAGAGTAGGGTTGCATAGCCAATTAATATAATTGTCAGTAAGTTGTACACTGTGAATAGTTGAATTGGCTAACGTTGTGTGATAGATATATGTACAGCAGTGGAAAAAGAAAAAAAAGAGAACGAGTCACTGCTGATGTTGCTTGTATACAATCACACACCTTACGGGATTTAGTTCCTTGGTTTGTAAGTTTAGGGTCATGGTTTCATGGGACATGCCAGTTAATTGGCCTGATAGCAAGTTTAGTGCTTCTTTCTATGTCCTAGTTTGTTGTGTAGTGCTTGGGGTCTTAAAAGCTTGCAAGTAGCCTATGAAGGCACAATAATTGATCTCTCTTCTCTTTGAATAATGTTGTTGTTGTTGTTATGTGCCGTCGAGTCGGCCCCGACTCATAGCGACCAGAGGAAGGAAAGCCAGGAAGAGGAGGAGAAAATGGAATATTGCCCATATGAAAAGCTGCCCCTTTACCATGAGAACAAAGGAATTGGATAGTATGTAGGTACAATTACTAAAGATTTGATCAAAGATTCTATACAAAAATCATTATTGAAAGGAAGGAAATGCAGAACAGATTTAGAATTCTCATGGAGGTCAGGAGGTCAAGCTTTCCAGAGTCATAGAGGTTGGATGAACCCCTGAAATTACTGCCCTAAAGCAGCATTTAAACCTTAAAACATCCCCTAAAGTCTTATAACCAAACAATAGTTTAGCTTACCTAGTTAAGAAATTCTGCATTGAGCATTATGCTCTTTTAAGAGCTACCTTTATGGTATCAAATTGACAACATCCACTTGAAAGATTGGATTGGCACCTTAGAGTACAGTGAGTTTACGTTAATGGGGAGAAACAACTGAGGAAAGAAGGGTCAGAAAGGTTGTACAACTCAAAGTATGTAATCAATGTCACCGCATTGTACATGGAGAAATGAGTTGGTGCATGCTTTTGTTATGTATATTCTCAGAAATAACAACATAAATAATTGAAAAGAGAAAAAAAACTCTATGAAGCACAGTTTTACTCTGATTCATATGAGGATGCCATGAGTAGGAATCAACTCCATGACAGTGAGTTACTGTTAGATGTGTATTAACATTTGGAACACACTCAAAAGTAATTTATTACAATGTTGAAAAACATACCTAGTTTCTGAAGTGTCAAAAAAAGACATTTCAATATTATTAAACTTTTTCTGTCTTTTTTTATTTTTTCTGTAAAATGTGAGGCATAGATAAACAACAAAATAACTCGTCTGTCTCCTAAATAATAAAATCATGAATTTAATACCTGAATCTTCTTTCATGTCCACATCTTCTTCTTCATTATTATCATCTATTAAAAAATAAAAAAGATAAATAAAAACTCATATGAATACTAGTCAAATGCTCCAATTTAACTAATAAAAAAAAAGAAAAGAAAAAGAAAAGCTGGTGGAAAAGAAGTAATTAAATCACATATTTCTACTGTCTTATGTTATCAAACTGGAATGGGAAGAGAGTGTAAGCTCTGGAGCGCAATTTAACACCTAGTATTTATATTTTTCTAATATTATATACTTTTTATTAACCATATATGCAACACCTTTTTTTACTTATAACAATAATGTACGGTCACTGTGGTAGTTAAGTTTGTGTGCCAACTTGGCTAGGCCTGGTTGAGTGGCTGGGCAGCTGGATATAGTATTCCCCATGATGAGACTGGTAATCAACTCCATGGTGGAATCTCCTTTACAATTTAGCTTTACAATTTAATATTGTAAATGATTTTAATCATGACACTCATAAATATTGATTATTGATGAATATTAGATGTATATTACTCAGTGGAAATAAATGCTTTTAATTTCTGGCTTTAGAAAGGTAAATCTTTTTGGTCATAGTTAACCTTTTAAAGTAAACTTTTCTACCATCCAGACATATTAGAGACATTAGTAATTTTCTACATAATTTTATTTGTTTCATTTCTTCTCTAAATGAATTTTGGAATTAAAATAAAATTTTTCTTAGAAATATACTTTTCTGGGAGCTCTGGTGGTATAGTGCCTAATGCATTTGACTGCTAACCAGAAGGCTGGTGGTTCAAACCCACCAGCCACTTCTTGGAAGGAAGATTGGGCAATCTACTTCCATAGAGATATCACCTCTGAAACCCAAGGTGGGGTCGCTACAAGTCTAGTTGACTAGACGGCAGTGAGTTTGGTTTTGGTATACTTTTCTAGTCAAATGATTATCAAAATGTTATGAAGCAGGCTCTTCATGTATTCTTCCTTGAACTTAAAAAAGTTTAGAGAGAATTTTATTTTCCAGCATCATCTAGACTTTCTGGAATCTCAGAAAAAGTATTTGCAGCTTCTGAGGGAAGATAAAGGAACAGTAAAAGTTCTCTTTGCTTACAACAAATGCTTTTGTCGGTCTATGTAGCAAACACTCACTGGTAGCCTTCTGTAATTAAGGCTTTCTGTTGGGCTATGTGGTAGTTAATGTTTTGTGTCAACTTGACTGGGCCATGCCTTTGAATGGCTTGGCAGTTGTGATACAGTTATTCTCCATGATAAGATTGATGTGGTGTAATCACCTCCAAGGCGGAATCTGCTGTGAGCAATTAATCAGTTGAAGGGGAGTTGCCTTCAGGATGTGGCCTGCTTCCAGTATATATGGAAAGGATCCTGAATTTGGTTGACCATCATCTCCAGTTCCTGGACTTGAGCCAGTGGCCTGCCATGATGCCTGCCTATTTTGGGATTGTTGCCTTCACAGCCCATGAGCCAACAATCTGCAGCCTGCTCTACGGTCTGCCAATCTTGAGTTTGTCTGCCTCTGCAGCTGTGTGAGTCAGGAGAAGTATGCAGTTTGCTCCAGCAGGCCTGAAAGGCAGAGCTGAAGCCCAAGGTCAAGAAGTTTCCACCCAGCCCCTAGAACAGGCACTCTGAACGCAAACTTCTAACTTCATAAACTGTAAGAGAATAAATTTCTGTTTGTTAAACTCATCCACTTGAGGTATTTCTGTTATAGCAGCACTAGAGAACTAAGACAAGCTCTAAAGAAAACCAAGATGAATCAGACACTTAAGCAATTGTCAAATCTTATCATTAGCAAGGGCACTAAGACATAGATCAATTTCAACATATGGAAGAGAGTGGTCAGTGCCATTACAGAAAGTGTCAGTGGAGGGGTAAACTGTGGCAGTTAGCCTACTGGGAACGTTTCTCAGAAGAGGTGACATTTGATTTAACATTTGAACATTATAGTCTGTAGTGATGATATCATACCCAGAAGGAATCCTATATGTTAAAAGATGAGACTTGGTGTTATTATTATTAATTTATTCATTTCACTTATTCACATATTCATTCATTTAATGATTATGTTTTGGGGATATAGGCTCATATTGCTTGGGTCTTTTAACTTCCAGTTTCAACCACAAATAACAGTGAAATCTTGGGCAAATTATATAGATTTTATGCCTGAGTTTCTGCATCTAGAAAATGGGGATAAAAAAATCTTACACAGTTGGGTTAGTAATATATGCAAAGTGTTTGCACATATTTATAATTCAATAATAGTATTGGCTTGACTGCTAACCAAAAGGTTGGAGGTTTGATTCTACCCAGAGGGTCCTCACAAGAAAGACCTAGCAATCTGCTTTTGAAAAATCAGCCACTGAAAAGTCTATGGAGTATTGTTCTACTCTGACACATGGCATCACCAGGGTTCAGAACCAACTGAACTAAACTGTGTTACTATTATTACTATCATTATATTACTATTACTATTGCTTTACTACAAAATAACCATTATTAACCACAGGATTTGCCACAGATTGGATGTAGAGAACATTCAAGGAGAGATATGACAACATATGAAAAATTCGAAAAAGCAAACATGTATAGTGTAGAGGAAGCACATGCCCTTCTAGTTAGAAGGGATCATGCCTGGAGGTAAGGAGAGTTAAATAGGAATGGTGCAAAAGTATGCTAGGCCCTGAAGACACAGGCTGACAATACCTTCCCTCAAACCAAAACCAAACTCATTGCCTTCAAGTCAATTCCAAATCATAGTGACTATATAGGGTAGAGTAGAACTGCCTTGTAAGGTTTACAAGGCTGTAAATATTTACCGAAGCAGGCTGCCTCATCTTTTTCCTGCAGAGTGGCTGGTGGGTTTGAACCACTGACCTTTTGGTTAGCAGCTGAATGGCTTAACCACTGCACCACCAGAGCTCCTTTCCTTCCCTCAAGGAGCTCACAAAGAAGTTAGTTCCTTGACATTTCAGTGTATGGTAGCCTAGCTTCTAGCTGTCCTCCCCTGCCTTTGTTTCTCTAAGGGATTTTCCTGGTTAGGGGAGCTCACTCTGCTTGGGGCAGGCAAGCAATGTCAAGGAATTATCATCTGTAGGGGGCAAGTTTTCACAAATTTGCAGCAACCTTACTTCTCCGGTGAGCTCATTTTGAAACATGTTCTCTACTGTCTGCCTGAGTAGAGCTGTGGGACGGAGCTGCAGTTGTCCACAGTGGTAACTGGCTTATAACTGTACAATATCACCTTCCCTCCCCACCCTTTCTCATTTCCCAGACCTCTACCAGTGCTTCCTGGGATCAGCTCTGGAATAAACTATTTCCATTTCAGTTCTTGTTTCAGGGTCTGCTTTTCAGGGGGATCCATTATAAGTCAAGGGACATAATACTCAAGCAGAAGGAAAATCATGTGCAAAAACAGAAGAATGTGAGACAGCAAGCTGTGTTCAAGGAATAAAATCAGCTCTGAATAGTAGAAGGAAGGAGTGATAGAAGAAATTGTGCTTAAATGGATCTGTTGGGTTAGTTAATGAAGGACCTTCCATGCCAGGTTGAAACATTTGAACTTTATCCTAAAAATTACAGGATAATTAAACATTTTAAAGAGGGGAATGATGTAGTCATCCTTTGAGCAATAACTTATTTCATGATAAAATTTTTGTAAAAAACTATTAAACACATGTCTTAAAATTTTGGCATTATTTGTATAAAAATCACAGTTCTTTGAGTCTGCAAAGCACCCAACGTGATATTGCATATGAAAGAAATCCACTCCAGTTCAACATTATTCTATATAATGTACTCACTCGAATCATATGTATGCACTAAATTCCTAGTAAGAATTTTTTTTAACAAAATCAGGAACCAAAAAAAAATAATATATTAAAAGAGATGATAGTCCCTGGAGATAAAGAGTCATGCTTTTCAAAATTTAGAAGCTGTTAGGAGACTGATGGAACACGGGCACAGAGCTGTTGCTGCCCCTTTAAACAGTTCTTAAAACATACTTCTTTGTTAAAGGATAAAAATGAAATAAAAGGTTCTTAGCCAAAGTAATACATATATCATTTCAAAACAGCACAATCCACCAGATTGTATGGTTCTCTGTTCAGAACCGCCAACTGCAGAAAATCCCCTTCCATTCCTAGGCAGAGACCACACAGGCTGAGTCTTCATTTCATCTTAAGGGGTCTCTTTGATGTTCATTTCACAATGGATATCATTCTTATTCACTGTACCACCTTATGTCTACTAAATACTGCACAAAATACAAAAATATGACTAAAGTTCTTATTCTGAATAAAAATGTTTGCTAAAACCAACTAGTTTCTGATGAATAACAAGGTTTTGCTAAGAATTTGCTTTATACACTTTAGAACTTCTTTCAGAGGGAAGTATTAAACCTACTTTTCATCTATAATATCCATTTAACCTTCTTATATGCTAGACAAAGTTAATATGAATCATTATTTTCTTAATAATTATACTTGGTTTTTTGAGAAACAACTCATTTTACCAAAAACAAACATTTGACACCTTTTTGAAAAACAAAGTATTACAACGGAAATTGCAATGACTTGGGATTTATCTTATTCCTTTACTTATTGCTGTTGTTGATAGTTGTTGAATCCATTCTGATTTATGTTAATCCTATGTGTGCTGGGTAGAACTGCTCCTTAGGATTTAAAAGACTGTGCCCTTTCAGATGCAGATCACCAGGCCTGCCAAAGATATTCTGATTGGTTTAAACTGTCGACCTTTTGGTTAGTAGTGCAGTGCTTAATCATTTGCACTACCCCAAGAACTCTTTCGTTTACCTTGAGTTTCAGTAATTACTATGGTCTTTTGTGGAAACAGAAAGAGTGAAAAACAACAAACAAACAAAATCCCATAGAACTTTAATCTGAAGCTGTCTCTTTCAAAGTTTGATCTCCGGCTAAAACAGTATTATTATTTTTTGGAAACTTGTTAGAAATGTAAATTCTCAGGCCCCAGTAATGATCTAGTTAATCAGGAACTCTGAGAAGTGGGGCCCAGA